GTTCAAGCGCGCCGCTGATTCTGCCGATCGTGCATAATCAGGCGTCCACCACGAGTGTGTCTAAACTTTTTCCGAAAAGCCGCGAGAAACTCGGATGGTTTCACAGACGAGCGACACGAAAAGGGCGACGGACATTATGAAGTGCCTGATTTACAACGCCCTTGACACAGCACCCGTTTCGTCTGCCCTTTTTCAGTGCCTCCTATCCTGATCGTCGTCGTTGCACCCTTTACGGAAACAGGCTTGTGAATCGAGATCGAACAAGTATCATACTGAAACGAGCTATCGAAGATCGATACGGTGCGTACACTGTGCGACTGGCTTGTTTTTTTAACATGTATCTAACTCTGCTGTTCTCCTCAACTTGATCAAATGTTTTTCTTTCCTTTTTGACAATATTTTGTTTGTGAAAAAAAAAAGAAAAAAATGCGGAACATAGAGAAGGATAGTGAACTCACATTGGATGTTAACGTAGACCAGAGGAGAGCAGCAGTGTTAATTACTAACACTTTTTACGAGTCTCGCTCATGTGACACTTTCTTTGTTTTTATTCCTTTCTTTTTAATCAATTTCTCACGATATTCCTCTCGCGCGTTCCATGTCGAAGAACGCTGCGTATTGATTCAAATTACGGACCAGTTTAATGTAATTCGCAGAATCTCAGTCTGTTAACCGGGCTCGCTTGTCACCCGCAATCTCCAACAGAGTGTTTTGATATCTTGTTCCATTTCTACTCGAGAAACACTTTCAGCTCGCGAAAACTGAGTGAAAGTTATTTATTAACTATTAGAGAATTTTCGAGTTTTTCCAGACGAAAAAATTCATACTTCAATTAATGAAATATGACCCGGTTGACAGATTAAAAAGCAAATTGCTAGGAATATTTCTTCGGATAATGACAGTGTAGTGAAAGTTGAAGGATAGGGTTGGTTGACCAAAATAGGAAGGCGAAAGAAGCGTATAGGAAAGAAGGTGTAAGGAGATTTGTTTCTGTGAAGAGGAAAAGAAAAAAGAAATTAAAGAGTTCGCATGGCAAGCATGACGAGCTCAGATTTCTTCGTGATCCAGCATGTTGTTGTATCAGCCATTCCGTCGTGAACGAAACAGCCGAATTTGCGTTTCTTTTGTAACTGTTGTTATTATTGCATTGTCTATGTATTTTTCCCTTTGTTTATATAGTATTCTGCTATACATTTTCCGCGTTGCCCCAACCCCGTTCGTTTTATTCGTTATCACAATAAGAAAAATAAAAAAAAAAAAAAAAGAAAAAGAACGAAAAAGAAGAAGAAAAGAGAGTGAGAAGAAAGGAAGAGTGACGAAAGAAAGAGAGACCATACACGTTGATTGTACCACACACACACACACACACACACACACACATATACGAGAAGTGTTTTGTTTAATAAAGAAAAAAAAAAGAGAATACGAGAATGTCAGAGCGAAAGAGAGAGAGAGAGAGAGAGAGAGA